AACATTTGGTTATACAATTATTTGAAAGTAAAAAACTTGAGACTACAGCCTGCCATTCAACCTTTAACTTTCTTCCACATACATAGTTTGGGGTCTGTGGTGTTCTTCCCTCACTGAAGACACCTCAGGATACCTTGCTATCAAAGCGAAACAAATGCTTTGCATTATTATCCCTGCGAGTTAATGGCTTCCCACGGTATTTATTGTATGGAATTCTCAAGTACTTTTGCTCATCAACTGTTCTAGGATATCCATCAACAGCATCTCAGTGTTTCCTATAAAGTAAGAAGGTCTTACCTCAAAGCTCTGATCTCACTCTACTAGATAGAGGTGCCCATTGATGTTGGTTGCTGCTATTTGCAGCAGCTGTCAAAACTTTTAGTCTAAAATACTTAAAGGGAAAAAAAATGCAGTTCTGATTGCACTGAAAAAAATCATTTATCTCTCCTACTCTAATTCTTAGCTCATTTAGATTTTTCAATGCTTTAGACACAAAACAGAACGTTTAAAAAAAATCAGAAAGAACATCCGAGGTTGAACAAAATGCTTGCCTTTTTTTGAAAACCTTTTTCATTACCTGCAACATTTCAAACATTTTCAAGTTTCACTATAATAATTCTATTTCTACTTTCAGCATCCTGATCCAGCTTTGTTCTTCCAACTCATCTTGCGAGCACTCAACATGTCAGGACATCAGGTTCCGGGTACCCCAGCTTTTTCACCCACAAAATATACAGATACCAGCTGCATGTCAAATTGCCATTTACAGGGCTTGCCTAGCATTACTAAAGAAACTCTTGCTTGAAGTTGAGGCAAAACCAAATTCCTCCTTTATGGGCCACTAGAGTACTCACTTGGCTCAGTTATCACACTCTCCAACATGGAGAAGAAATGAAACCAGCAATCTCATCCTAAGCTTCCTCCCCTCCACGTTGTCATAACCAAGTACTGCCCTTTAGCAGGGTAGCTTTACCTGGGAAAAAGAGCGTAACATTGTAATTAAAGATGCAAATGTCTTCAGGCATTGGGTGGGGACAAATTAAAGTTCGCAGGGCAAACTTCCAGGATTTTCCTAAATTTTGCCTACTCGACTTCCCAAATGTTTTAATACAGTTTTTGGCATAGAAATTGTAAAATTACATGTCGTGAGGTTCTTCCTCTGAGGCTTTGGCAACAAAGCAGTGCGCAGGGTGGAGCCTAAGATATTTGCTGCCAGTATGAGAAGGCTGGAGTCTAGTAAGACTTAAATTGTTTGCTAGAGCCATGCAGTAAGATGAGGAGACCTTCCCATAGGAAGGGGGAAGAGACGTGCATCATGTGTCGGCGCCAACAATGGACTGACGAAAGAATAAAGCTCTTTTCTACCTCATCTCTGTTGTGCAGTGGGAACACAGAGGTACATGAACAAGGTTCAGGGAGCACGTTACTGGATAGGAGGCAGGCAGACACTGAAAGCAACCTTCGGAACATGAGCTCCAACATCCCCTGCTTTAGTGCCACAAAAGGCTTGGGCTCCAACAGGAACATTCGGGCTCACGCTCTTGTGCACAGTACCAGTGTTTCTGCTGGTGGTACACAGGAAAGAGAAACTGTACAGGAAGGAGAACCAGTACCTCATGTCAAATCCAGAAGGAATGCAATGGGATAGAGAAGTGCTCAGGAAGCAGAGCAGGGCATAACGTTTTCATGCTGGATTTTCAAAAGACTGCAAGGATTTTATTACTGGAGAGTCATTGCACTGTATGTGACCACAACAGCCACAGGGAAAATGAAAGCAGAATAGCAGCAATATTGCTGGTTTGGGCATTCAAATGTGGAGGTTTTGTAACAAATTCAAATAAAACCCAGTTTCCTGGCTTGGACATTACCTTCTAACTATGTCTGTACAGTCCTGTACTCGTACTCTGTGACCTGAACTGCACAGACACCAACACATTACAAGCCAAAAGCTAAGGAGCCTCATTAAAGAGCACCGAGATTCCAGGACTTAAGAATTAGGTCAGGCACATCACCTTTGAGTCAGAGCCTTCGAGGAAAGACAGACCATGTCTGCCTACCAAATATATTCTGCAGCATGATAAAGCAGATTAGACTTGAGAAGAGGCTGTGCCCTTGGTTTGGAAGACAACATTCTTCAGCAGAAGACAGCTCGGTGTTAGCTGAAAAAAAAAAAAAATGGGTAGCAAGTGGCTTAAATGATTTGAAAACTGGAAGAAGAAAACTATTCCAGTCTAATAGTTTACTCTATTTGGTTTCACTATTTGCATTTAGCACAATACCTTAAGGGAACAAGTCTTATACAATCATATTTCAGACATGCAGGCAGGAATGCACTTCTTCCCCCAAAGCTTTTGAAGCCATCCGCCACATTTGACAAAAGAGTTTTAAGTTTATACGCTCCTACAAGTATTACAAAAACCAGCAGCTGTCAGAAACAAAGAAAACCTTATTGCAGGCTCTTACTAGATACTGGAGAGCATAGAACAGAAAAAAAAACCCCAACAACTTCACAATGTTCAAATATGAAAAACTCTTCAGCCAATGCTCACATCTTATGAGATACTCGGGCATCATTAGTTCTGATGCTTCCAGAACTATTTGTTTTAAGGGGCAAATATGAGCTACTTCATACATCAAATTATGGAAGAACATAGAAGGAATTTTAATGAAAATATCTTCTTTCACTGCCCTATAGTACTTACTGTGTACTGGAAAAGGTTGGCATTTCAAGTTTATACAGCACAATCCAGCTGACCACTGATGAAGGAGATTCTTACTGACTACGCGGTGTGCACGTGCCCTGGCCTATATCGTTTCACGCCAGAGAGAACTGCTACTGCGCAAAGCTTGACCTCGTCTGTAATGTGGATCACGGAAATACACCTGGATACACTGGGTGAAGCCACTAGCTCGGTAGTATCCAACAGAAAAAGCACCACATCCTACATAAACATTTCCAGCTACAGAGAGCTATCACATCCTTTGAAGCAAGAATAATTGGCCTTCGGAGCATTCTGCCAATACACCAATTTTCAGTCTTTCCAATTTCATCTTCCAAGTTGCTGAAGTGTTTTGTTTGCCACTTTTATTCAAAGTGTTTAAGAGTATTCTCACACCTCAGCATAAACCCAGATAGTAAAAACTGAATTATACTTCTAATGGATAACTGTTTTGAAACATTGCAAAGTGCATGGGTGATAAAACCAATACTAGAAGTGTATTTACAGTTCCTATAAGAGCCTGCATATTTATTATTGAAGATATTTCTTGTTATGTACTTTATTTGTTATGAATCAAACACATTCAGTACACAAGTAAGAAAACGGTGCAGCCAATGTGCAACTCTTTCAGAGCAACAGAATTCTTAGCTCTGATCACGCATACAAACAGGTTTTAATTAAAATGCTGCACAGAAATGGAAAAAAAAAAAAAACCCAGAAGGAACCATGTCCTGCACTTCATGCTTCAGAGTTTGTTCCAAAATACAGTACCACTTAAAACAGTTACTTATCTGTAATTATATTAACAGAAATTTAAATCAATGTCTTAACTGATCCGCAACTTGATATCCACATCAAGAATATTCTACTACCGTTGAAACTGTGATACAGCATGCAGTTAAGAATTTCCCAAAGCAGAAGTTGTAGTGGGCCTGCTGAAGCCAGGGGTTACTTGCTTCAGTGGATGTTGACTAAGCCAACCACTTTCAAACCTGAAGGGATGATAGTTCCGCTAAAGGAATACACTGTTCAAAAACATCCACTGGGCATCCAGTGTAAGTCAAAGTTAAACTTAATAGAGAACTTTGAAGCCGTTATCCTTTTGCTCCAAAAGGATAAGCTACGTGCAATTTAAAGACCTCTGTGCAGTGACAACACCAGCGAATTACCTGGTAGCAACAGAAATACTATCTTTAACACCATTTCCTTAAACAAAATGTTAAATTAGACAGAGGATATATACAAATCAGAACTGCATGCCAATCCTAATAAATATTTTAAATACACTGCTGAAATTGTTACCAACTTTCAGAGAATTTTTTGAGACGCTTTAAAACTTGAACTTTTACTTTCCTCTAAAAATCACATACTCTGCATAAGAGATCTCGTACTATTCCTACTGTTGCCAGCAGTTTGGAGTTTTAAAGTGGATAGATTAAATCAGTTTGCCCTGGCAAACCCAGCTGAAGCAGCTTGCGAGCCTACCACCCTGTTTCACTGGGAGAGGTTCCCACCACTGTGAGATCTGACAGCAGGGAATGCTCCCGTGCCTCTACGGCTCCTGCTCAAGGTCCGAAGCTGAAACTGCCAACAAAGGTGAGCTCTCAGCAAGGCACTGCAAATGGGAGCTGCAGCGTCTGAGTGTGGGCACATCTCTCTTCCTGCCAGATCTGCAGGCAGCAGCACCTTAAACACCTGTGACTATCTACTCAGTGAATCCAAGTCACAGCCCTTCCATGCAGTTCAAAACAGCTCCACATTCCTGCCTCCTACTAATTTGTAAAGCAAACTTAAGATTATTTTCCACCAGTAAGTCTTTTAAAGGTATTTACCGTACTTTACTTACTATATTTTGTATCAACACATATACAAAAAAAATGGATGTGCACACATACATATATATGTATCATTCATACATACACACAAAATTATACATATTTATGTATGTAAAAAGATGCAGAGCATATCTTCTCCATCACAGACAAATCTTTAAAGAGAATCGAATATTAGGAAAACTTTTGTATCTCAAAATAAAGTAAAAAAAAAAGGTGTTCTCATTAGATATAGATAGAATACCTTAACTGCATTTCCTCTTTTACATATAAAAGGTATACATTTAGATAAGACAATCCCTTCAGGAGGAGAAAAAGAAGTTGCTTTTCATACTCAAGATATCTTTCCTAAACTTGCTCCAGAAGAAAGTCTCTCAAGCCATGCAGAAGAAAATATGTGTGTTTGTAGTGATGAATTTGAAAGTAACAAAAATGAGTGCAGAAGTAAAAATCCACTGGAATTTATTCCTCTTTTAAGGAGACAACTACAATTCCAAAATGTTCTCTACAGAAGAAACTGGAGTTTACGAAAGTGCAGTCTGCGTCATAAATGTCCTCGTTAGATATAGATATTATTGTGAGTTTCATTGGTTGTCAGTAACTTCTTCAAAATCTTTGTGCTTTCAGATACATCCTAGGGAAAGGAAGAGATGATCAGCATTAGCTACCTTGCTGGTAACAAAACAAAACAAAAAAGCCTCACTGTCCTCTATTCCGATTCTTACTACTCTGAATATCAGTTTGATTAAAATGTTAACTGTGAGCAAAACTCAGGTCTTCCGAAGGCAGGTATCCAGAGACCTGCTAAAGGCTCCAAACGAACTTGCAGTTCAACCACAGAATGGGATTTGTTAATTTGCGTTCCTCCTCGCTTGTATATGAGAGGAAGAGCCTGCATATTTACTGTTGTTTTCCTTCAGAGTTTAAACATTTACGTACTAGTCTGTTAGACTTGTTTAGCAGACCAGTATAAGCTGTAATGAAAACTAACTCGCAATTCCCACATTTAAAGCTGAAATAAATACTTCAGTACACACAAACCTCTTCCGTCATTTCAATGTAAGTTCAATAGGCAAAACTGAGGAGAGTGTTTTGAACCAACTATACTTCAATTAGAAATGTTTCAGAAAGAAGCAAAACATTCACTTTAGTAGCTACAATGCCATGATTTCAGAGCTGCTTGATTAGTGCAAAACTGCTAAGAATCATCTTTAGAATTTCAGTCTTTTAATTCCAGAAAGAAGCTACAGGTCAAAATAAATTTCTTAAGAAGCTTTCATGTATTGCACAAGACAGGTAGATACAGAGCTAGAACAGAGCCATCTTGCATATGAATGTAGAATGTTAAAAAAAATAAATAAAGGTTTTAACACGAGACACCTCCAAGAAAACTGCAACTTAAACAATCACAAGAAATTACTCCCCGATATACTAATACCACTACAAGAGCCTGAAAAGTCAAAACTAAGTTTTGAGGGAAGCTGTAGATGCATTATTTCTAAGCAACTTATAAACAGATGTAAATAGTTACAGCAGGTACTATCCCAGAAATCATTGTCCTCTGCCAATAAACTCTGTACATTACATACATCAGCCTTTTCAGGTGGAATCCTCATAGGGGCACATCAACAGCAGAATGCAAGAGATGAAAGGCAGACCACAATAGACCAAACCTCCCATTAATTTTTAAATATGAAATTTTACCTTGACTAAACTCTTTAGGATTTTAGAAGAAAGCAGAGGCTTGAACGCTTCAATTGTAACCGTGTCCAGTTTGATGACATCAGTGTAGCACTGATACAACACTGCAGGAATCTGCCATACTTGACAATAACTCAAAACTAAATACAAGTCAAAAGAAAACGTGTGTTATGTTCAGCAGAGAAGGAATCTCAGTTCTGTGTGTAAAATCACATTTGTTCTGGCCAGAACTTCAAAAGCATGAAAGTTTATAAATTAACTACTCAGGCTCCTGACTGCTAGACCAGCCATCCCTCGTTCCTCAGGTACACAAGAAAACAAACCACCAAAAATTAGTAAAATGCAGTTGGTATTTCGTCCTGCCACATACCTTAACTGGAAACTGTATACTACTGGTAAACAAAAATAATATGAGCTTCTGTTAAAAAAACAAAACAAACCCCCCCAAACCAACCAAACATAAAAACTCAAAGTGCAAACAAGATAAACTTTTTCTAGAAAAATCATCCACTTTTAGCTCCTGCCAGACAAGTTTTTCCTCATGATGCTACCACTAATTTGGCACTCTATAATGAAAAGCCTCGGGTTTTTATTACATTACATAATAAAACTGAACCTAACTTTTACATGAGGTCAATCAGTAGCACTATGAAACCTACTACTGTGATACGCAGAAAGGACTTTATAAGCCTCAGTTTAGATGCTTAGATGAAAATAACTTTTAATAAAACATATTTACTTCATAAGCAAAATGCCCCAAAACCCCAATATACAATACACTTTGTGAGGCTCTACTGAAGAATTTGCTAGTACTTATGTTCCGCACATAAGGGGTAAAAGATTTGTGGGTGGTTTTGAAATTTGTCCCTATTTTACAAGGCATTTCTTGTCCTTTAGGACAAGAGGAAATGGCCTCAAGTTGCACCAGGGGAGGTTTAGATTGGATGTAAGGAAAAATTTCTTTACTGAAAGAGTGGTTAAACATTGGAACAGGCTGCCCAGGGAAGTGGTTGAGTGCCCATCCCTGGAGGTATTTAAAAGACGTGTAGATGAGGCGCTTAGGGACATGGTTTAGTGGGCATGGTGGTGTTGGGTTGACGGTTGGACTCGATGATCTTAGAGGTCTTTTCCAACCTCAATGATTCTATGATTCTATAAGGCAACACGTGAGATGTCAAACCATTAGGAATTAATTTTCAAAAAGCTAACTTGGTAGCCAGTTCACACAATTAAGTAAAAATTCTAATTGCAATGGGATGCTTTTTGAAGTGAATTTTGTGTTGCCACCAGCAGCCTTGTAAATAATTGGAATTGCAAAATACCAGCAGCAGGAAGATCTCGCACAATGTTAGGTTGTTCCAGCAGTGGGCAGCAGACCTCCTCTTTGAATTCTTTTGTCTTCAAGGCTTTCAGAAATGGAGATGGAAGCGTTAAAGTGGATTCCTGAGTTTTATAATCAGCTACAGGACACGTTGAAAGAATGGTTACTTGCAAGTCTTCCTTTCGCATACAGCCAAAAACCTGAAATAAAAATGTTAATACATAAGGGAAATTTATCTTCTCACAATAACAGCGTAAAACCACAAAGATTCATTTCAATTTCAGTGCAGATGGCAAACAGCAGTGTAATTCAGGTTTGCAGGACTAAGTAAAATTTGAATCACAACCTTCAGGTAGAAGTTTCACGTGCATTGCTCTTGGGACAGAGATTAAAAAAAACCAAAAGAACAGCTAACATATTTACCAAATCTACTGATTCTCTTGAGAGGCTTTAGGTTTTCAGCACTTTCTGTTCACCTGCAAATATATTAAGACTTACTATTTTTACTAATGGTGATTGTAGAAAGAAAAAGGACTCAAAATAAAACCAGGCTGCTTCTGACAGGAAGGCAGCTTGCTAAGCTGCAAGACATTTGAAATAGAAATCGTGCTCCCCAGATGTTCTACAGTACTTAAAAAGAGTCTTCATTTTAAATACTCAGATTCTATTTAATTATAAATTGCTCAAGTTAAATTGAGCAAGAGAACCTTAATTTTTCCACAGTATTCCTCAAATTCAAAGAAGAGAGTTTCAAAAACATTGTATAAAACATACTTTTGGATCCATTGCATGCCGTCACAAAACGCCAACGTGCTGCACAGTGTTCCATTGTTTTTGAAGAACATGTCAAAATGAGCAGAAGCATGATAAACCTGCACCTTCCCTTTACACTGTCCTCTTCAGACTTATGATCAATCAGGAAACAGAGAATTTGGTAAACATTACAGAAACTTGCCTGTTTCTGTATATGGTACCAATCACAGAAAGAAAGCTGACCGCTCCCTCACATCAGTGTGTTACCACTGTAATATATAAACTGATATAACTTTTCAGAAGCACACATATTTTCAATTTACGTTGTTGGAAACACTGGCTGGTATGCATTACTGCGAAACTTAAGTTTGTATGTTCTCATTTTGTCAG